ACGCGTATGACAGGAGTCTAATCAAACGGCTAGTCGACGGAATCTTGACAACACAAGGAGGGGGCGTGGCCGTTAATTTAGCCAGCCTTTCAATATCCAATTCTTTCATTGTTTCGCCCTCTTTGATACTCCTGGCCTAACGACCCTCTTCTCTCATTCAGTTTGTTGTTGCGGCGTGTACAAACTTCTAGACCAAAATTCAATCTGTGTTTATTCTTCGTCATGAAAGGTGGAATATGTTGAGGATGGTGCTAGATCGTACAACGTATGCAAATTATGTTACTGCCAACCAGTCCGATTAAAAGTGCTACCAGGCTGTCGTGATCTAGTTATAGCAATGTGAACAAGAGTACGTTCGGAAGCAAACCGAGTTATAATTTTATGCTTATTAACATGTTTGTGTCGAGGCTTTGAAGAAAATCTCAATCATTTTGGTTGATGAAATATTTAAAATACGACATGCCAGAATTAAACTTTAAGAATGGAATATGGTTATACCTAGACACCAAGGCACAAACACACCAAAATACATCCCTAATTATCGTTAGTGGGTCGATAACAAACGTGGTCATCGTGCCAATTTACTCAGAAAATTTAAACTAGATTAAAAATGTTAATTTGCATATAATATCAATATAATATCTAGGCGTTGCTTGTAATGTTGATACATTTCTTTGCCAGAAATCAATTTTACAGGAATAAAATATAAAATCTGATTGAAAGATTCTCCATAAAATTCAAGCTATGATGTACATTTTTATAAGATTCTTGTAACAAAACCCGTTATATATCATAATCAAATGAAATCTTTAATTATTCCGCTGTGAAGGTTCTTACCACAATATTACGTCATATTTCGATATGGTCGACCAATCTTTGACAAATCCTGTTTAGTTGTGTTCTAATCTTCTATCAAAGACTGTACTGAGGTAACCTGTCCAAGATGTAATGGAAATTGTACCCAAATCAATTAAAAATTCTGAAACGAACTAAAAACTGTATAAAATACACAGAAAATAATATTCATTTTAAATGTAATTTGTTATAGAAAAAAGTGCAATTCAAGTGCCACAACTATGAAATTTAAAATGCTCTTATCCCCTAACTCGGAATTATAAAGTTAAGTTCATTGCGTTTGGTTTGCTTTCAGAAACTGTAAAGACTGCATTATGCGTATAATTATAGGCGTGATCTTCGATACAAAAGGCCAGCTATTTGGCGACAAGATGTTAGGGATTGACCTACAGTAATCCTTTTAACCTCTTGTGTCAAAATTATAAAAGCTTAATCATTCCGTATTATAACGTTTATTTAACACTGAGCGTATCCCGAATTAAGTTATATGACGATGTGTAAACATTGTAATGGTGGTCCATTCTAATACGTTCCGGTAGGTCGGATTGTAGCTATCCGGAATCCTGCTGTGCCAGGAATTGTTCGAAATGAAATACATAGATTACTTTGTTGATGTTCATGTGTATATTTTTTTATTCTCTCTTTATTCCGGATGCATACCTTGGTATAAGTCTAATCGGTACGTCGCCATCCCCATAAGGAATGTAATGTTTAAGAAATAGCAAAATAGCAATTGGAGGGAAACATAACTCCGTGTTTAATCTATTTTCTGTGAGTTTTGATTAATAATCTTTGATTACAATACATGTCATTATTAACCGTAAAACGATTAATAATTTGATTTCAATCATTTGATTGATTTTTATATATCGAATAATTTTAGAAAAAGGTCAAGTACATGGAGTGAAACGTAGCATGCAGGTTACGGCAGACCTCGGGATCTAACCACCTTCAGTGTTGAAGATTGTACAAAATATTACATGTACAGAATTTCAAGAATATACTTAAAAGGACGAAACAGCTGTATGATGCAGTTTTATTCATTGTTTGTCTGTACTGTATCTAACTCTAAATTTGTATGAAAAGGTACTTTCCACAAGTATATCAAATTAGTACTGAATGCCCCTTTGGTTGTGCCACTTATACTATGATGAGTAATTATGGGATTTTGGAATCCCTTCTCGTCTTATAATACAAAAAAGGCCATTCAGAAACCCTGTCTTGGTTTGGTCAAATACCCCTAGAATATTTGGGTAGGCCTTTTCGATTATTTTATAGGACAAGAATTGTTTATGAATGTGTGTTTGTATCAATAGTGTGTTGTATTTCCACTGTATATATTATTGTAAACATTCCTGTAAACACCTGTATACCAGGCCCACATATCGGATAGAGCCTGAGATTTTACACACACGGGATTATGTACACAGGAAATTTTCACAGATATATCGGAAATATTACATTTAAAATTACACACACACCATTAATTAACCACAGAAACAGCTCGATAATATTGGACACGGTAGTAATGAATTTTGGATAAAATGTTTGATTTCTTTTGAGCTATGAAAGTCGATATATCGTCTGTGTAATACAGTGAATGAAGTGCTTGATTTTGTCTGAGAGTTTGAATCCGTTATGAGATGGGCACCTGCGATTTTTTGGTTGCTAAACCAATATTGACCAAACTCCTTGGTAAATATTAGCTGTACGTCCCGATGTAATGCATTAACAATGTATTGTAACCAGCAAAGGATCCGTATTTGGATTGTAATCAACAGTGTTTATATCCCGCGCCTCGCGTGATAAGGTAATTCATCACTATTTACCCGTCTTAGGGCCATTCAAACTACCAGATACATAAGTACAGTAAGCTTTATACAGCAATATTTTATTTCCGTAAAATATTTTGTAATTGACACAAATATATTCGATGTTTCCAATGACGCAAATAAAATATAATTTCTTCTTTTAATTTGAATATTTCAATTATTTTGAAGCATTAATATGAAATTTTGATTGCATAACTGAAAAGAAGGAGTTATCATATCAAACATACAGCTCACAATATCATCCCTTTTATATCTGTAGATCTTGCATATTGGAGGATTTTGTATGTCAATATGTAAAACGTTGTAAGATATTTAAACGTTTTATTTGTCGTCACACTTCTATTGAAAATATCCTTCCCTAATGTTTAATCAGAATTTCCCTTTTAATTTCCAAATATTCAATAAACAGAATAAAATCGTCCTATTTAGTTATCGCATGTCACGTGCTCTACTGTCATGTTTCTATGGCAACAACCGTTTTCTAAAATTTTATCACACGGTAACAATAGTGACATTAGGACGACAGATTATGAATGTCACTGTAAATTATCTGATATTTTAGGAGCGATGGCCCGAAATCATTGACCATTTGTTTATTTAAAGACACTTGTGTGTTGCTTTCTCGTAACTTGGATTCGGCATTAGCACAAAACCGTACCTCCGATCTGAATTTTTTTCCCTGTATAATTGTACTCTTAAGTTCTATATCCTATAGATTATCCATTGTTTGCAGGTGCAGCCTTAGATTGAGACCAAGGCATGCGTACAATGCTCCCAGATCACTGGCTAAAGACATCTGGCTCTCTCTGGGTATATGCATCTGGCAGAGCGCGCGTGTGTCTTTGAACCCCTAATTCCTGTTTTGGAGGGTTTGTACACGGAGGGGCCGTGTACCCAGCCTTCAACAGGGGCAGGACTGAAATATGTTTTGTTTGATCCGGAACGAGAAAACCTATAAGAATATGAATCTTTTGGCCATTTTGTTAGTTTCTGTTGCTCCCTTGTCTCTTTTGTTGTTTTTGAGGGTAAACACATGTTGGTGAGGTCTGTGGTTGGTAGTCCTCACTCTTACAACTTTAACTGGATCCAGACAGTCATTTTTTCCACACGTGCGTTTGACTTTTGATTTTATATTTTCAACGCATTTCCGTTTTTCTGTTTTATGATTTTTTTCCTCTTGATATCCTTCATGTAAACTTCTGTCATATGCAAATTCATATTAAAACATCGTTACCTACATATATTAAGCTCTTTACTAGGTTTGAAATCCTAGCATTACAAAGAGTCCACATATTCACATTGGGCGGCGATTATGGCTGCAATCAGTCTAAATGTTGGACGCAACACTTTTTACTCCTTCTGCACTACAGATTAATCCATCATGGCAACTATTAACATATCAATACTGCCTCTTATTCGTTTGATCTCCATTCCCACTATATATAACATTACGTGATAAAGATTTGAAATAGTTCTCCTACTAACCCATTGGTGTTTTAGATTGACTTTTGCTGGTTCATCAAAGCTATAGGATTCCGTCATGTGTTTGTCGTTATCACACTCCCTGTTCATACTTCTCACAACGTCGTGTGATATCAGAGAATACCATAAAATCTATTATTTCAACAAAACTAAGTGAATTGTTCTATTTTGATGTAGATGTATGTTATAGACTTTTATAAATGACAGAGTAAACGTATCCCTTGCGGACAAACTAGTTTGAATCAGTTCAAAATGTTTCAGCAAAAATTATTTCATATAAAAATGTTCTGTATGAAAATACTTAACTCTCAAAATCGTCAGTCCTTGTGATATTATAAGTGATTTCACTCTTCCTGATATTCAACACTTTTTATTAGATATCCTATCCATAAAAAATGGTAACGCCCCTCACCTAGGCGATCACGGTTCGAATCCCTGGTTAGTTTCTTTGCACAGTATTAAGAACCTTCGTACTCAGCCGGCCTTTAAAAATGACACCGCAAGAGACTAAAGCACTCAATGTAACTTAATCAAAAACATTTTGAAATTGTTGTAAAATAAATAAAAAAGATGCTGTCAGCGATTCAATCATATTCTCTTCATTAATGTCAAGCATATCATGTTTGTAAATTGATAAATACACTATGATCCGATACATTATAACCAGTTGTGTGAATCCATTATCTGTTGTCCCAGAAAAATTTTACGACAGAAATGGTGTCATTTATGAAATATGATCAACAAAACGGATAACATATATTATTCTTCATACACTAATGCGTTTGCAGTAAGGTTGAAATATGCTTACATATTTTTTTTTATTTATTTCAGAAGATTTGCTGTGAAAAGGTGTGCAAGGTGTCAGTTAGGAATATCTGCTAATGAACTAGTGATGCGAGCACGGGACTGGGTCTATCACATCACGTGTTTCACATGTATGGCATGCAATAAAACTCTTACTACGGGAGACCAATTCGGAATGAAAGAAAATTTAGTTTATTGCAGAACGGATTATGAACTATTGTTCCAAGGCGAATTTTTTCACGGAATGACTCCAGGACTCCCGTGTTCGTCTGGGGGGCATTTCCCTTACTACAATGGTGTCGGAACGGTACAAAAGGGACGACCTAGGAAGAGAAAGAATCCTATCGCGGATGGAGAAGGGTGTCCTCCAGGCATGGGTGAGTCGCATCACTTCACTTCATTCATACGCCAGCCACGTGATCATACACTTCATTAAAATTGGCCACATCGGCATCTGGAGGGTTCGTAGACCTTCGGACTTGGAGAGGTTCATTCGCATTAGATTCAGTCTCTTCCTTTTCTGTTCATAACCCTGATTTTTTCACTCAACATCGTGAATGCACTTCACTTCCTTCCTTTGAGTGTTGTATTATTTCCAGGCAATTTTGTGATCTCTCAGCCTATTTGGTTTTTATCATTTATGCACTGTGTTGGTATAACCGCCATCCACCAGTATCATAAAAACACCAAATTCAAAAACATAATTGGAAATAATGAAATTTCAATCGAGTAAAGGTTACAAAATTAACAGTAATTGAATTTCTGAATAGGCGCATATGTTAATTCAATGCAAATTAAGAGATATTAATATTCACGGGCATTTTGTGACGGAACTGCATCGTAGCGTTTAGCACCAGAGGAGCGAGATGGTGATAATTACTGAGTCAATATGGTGCAATTGCTGTAGGGTATTTGTTCGGATTTGGTCTGGTATCCGTCGAATCTTTACATTGACCACGGTAAATATTTGCTAGGCCAACGAAAGGGTGTTGTCCTTTCCATTTCCTATCGTTAAAACAAATAGGATTTATAAATATTGTATGGAGCTCTATTGATACCATCTGAAGTAGTTACACTCGACTGGCAGGCGGTTCACATCGTCATTTCTCTTGGGATTCGATTTATACAAAAATAGTATTCAATTACAAATGTATAGTTTTTTTTCATGGCAGGAACTACGCTTCTATTTGCTCAGAATCGATGAAAAGAGCATATGTTGTGAACTCTTCATTGAAAATATTTAAGAAAAATCAATGTGTTTGCAATTGCTAAAAAAACCCTCGAGTTCTCATTGCAGTATTCTAATGCTATAAATAGGCATACAGTACGACTTAGTTATAGTAAATCGTTAGATTTGCATAATTGTATAGTAATTTTGACAGATTTCTAGTATTTAGTTTGCAGAAAAAATTAATTCAAACCACAGATTAAAATGTTGCTATAAGGTGCTGTGAGGGAATTGATGGTAAAAGAAACGACCTTCCATGTATAGAGATTCCTATTCTATACTTGTCGTTTCTGTGACTCTGCAATGGTAAAAGAATTGTGCCATTAAGAACATTTTCATATTAAAAATTGATAAAGGAATTAAACGGAGATATTTTTCTGATGATAGAAAATCATATTCTTTACAAACACAAAATGTGGCTCAATGTGAATTTGTGTCATTTGGAAATAATTTCTGGTATAATAATCTGGATATTATGTCTTCTTTTGGCTAATTTTGTTCCTCCATTTCACGGACATTGGCCCCTGAACGTTTTAGCATCTCTGTACTCTGTGATTCGTTTGTCACCCTGGTTTATCAAGGCCTTGTTCAAGCCTGCTGAGTCGGCTGGAGAGGGAGCCTGATAAGTCCGGCATTCCTCGCGCCAAATCAGACCGGCACACGCTTAATTAACACTGCAGTATTTCCACAGCACTCGCCTGACTCTCCTCGTGTTATGTTATGATATTTAACACGATATGGACAGCCGTTTTAAGATATCTATAAGTGTCAAATAGTTCATTTTTCCTATAGGAATTTAGCTGAAATAAAATCCACTGCTACAATTACTATTAATGATATGTCGGATCATAATGGATTCAAGTATTGATTGCTATGTAATGTCTACCAGAATAATTTTATGAAGGATATCGTCCAGTCATCAATAACACTAACAGGGGATAACATAATATGATTATAATATATAAGTGTCCGTATGTGTTTCATCAATTTACACAGTGTGTAGGTGATCGAATAGACACGATGACAGAACTGTACATATAAAACTATTAGGTGGCAAAGACTGTTATCACTATTATATACGCCAGGATAGAAAAAAATATGATTTGATTAAATAAACAAACTAATCTTACCACGAAGACAGAAATCTTCGACGCTATCAGTGTAAAAGGAGGCCGAGATTTCAATGAAGAGATTTTATCTGGGCCCGACTTATCGTCATATGATACGAAACGTGTTTTGAATTACATGATCCAGCGGAGCTGATACAATCGGAAAATTATGTATAAAATAAAAATAACTGCCATGTTATTTCAAAACACGTTTTGATTGGTAGTCAGAAGGTGTCATCAGATTTTCCCCAACTAAATGCTGTTTAATCCACAAAGATCTTGACTGGTTAAATATCATTTCAAGTGATAATATATATCGATTCCCTAATCATTCGTCTGTGATAGATATCTTAAATTAAGTACACTAAATCTTATCTGTTCACATTTGACGTAAGTAACGATGAAAACGTTATTTTAGTTGTAGATTAAGACGGAGCATTAAGATGTAGGCCGACGCATAGTCAAACGCCGGCTCCGATAGTCAATAGCAAGTGTTTTTGTTTTAGGAATGTATGTACATATAAAATACCCAGATTAACTTGTCAACGTACAGAGGGCTCAGTTTACGTACAAAAATTGGCTACCTTTTTATCTTTTTCTTATGCGATAATACTCAGGATTTTGATAATACAATGAAACGGATGAACTGCAAGCTTTTTCAATTACCTTCATTTTCTCTAAAACCGAATTATACGTTGTTTTTTGCAAAAACAATGGAATATGATTTTTTCCAATTACAGCCATGCATTCTATTCTAAAACGGAATTATAGCCAAGATTTCGCTAATACAACGTTGCTGATGAAATACCAAGCTCTTTACTTAATACTCGCTTATTGTAAAGTTCAAAGATATTGTTAAACGGATTATGAAACGGGGATAAAACTCACAGAACGTCGCTTTCAGTTCACTAATGATATTACCAAAGCGTACACAACGTTACTCTGTTGCAACACAAACATCCATGTGACGGAATTATTTAATCTCAAAGCGTTATTGAATTTTGTTAGTGTTATTTAAATGTATTTTAATTTCTTGGTCGGTTGTCTGTGTTTCGATTTCTACAATGTGTTTTCGATAAACTTTCCCTTGGTAGTTCTTTGATATCTCAAAACTCGATTATAAAGTATATGCTATATTTTCTTTTATTTTTATCATTTTTATAATTGATGTATTTTTTCTCAAAGAACCTTCTATTCTAATTTTCCTTCGCTGCTTTGAATGTTAAAAACTAACAATTCTATTTTAAGTTTTTTTTCCAACGATGTGGTAAATAATTCAATTAAACAATTCACCAAAGACATTATGTTGAAAAGTTTGATAGTGTTGGTAATCTGTGAAACAACGTTACGGTGACAAAGATGTAATTATCATAAATGTATTTTAACAAAAAATAATTATAAATACCTAACAAAAACATGTTGAAAACTGATTCTACATCGTAATAATTTAGTTTATAATAAGTTGAATGTACTTTCTATGATTTACATAAACTGTTCATTTCATGTCTGGAGAAACATTGTTATATCAGCGATTGCTAAAGAATTGTTTTATCAAAACTGGTCTCTCCAGATAAACAACAATCTATAACTATAGAGATTTTAAATACATTTGATGTTTTGCTAAAATATTTTGATGTACTAATTTCTTTCTATGAAAATGAGTTCAACTTTATGTGTATTCATATATTAGATTAAAGTTAAATGTTCAATGATAATAGAGTTTACAATTATATAAGTGTGAACAACGAAAAATTAACAATGAATAGTTAACTATCATATCAAGTTGAATACGTTTGTGCAATGTCTATTTCATAAAATCAATCCATTAATTAGCTGTCAATTATTAGATTTTTATAGATGTATTTTATGTCATATATTCTCATCTTAATGTCTCTAGTAAAGAGAGATTCAGTTGAATTCGTTAACTATATATCTAGTAAATTCTTTTCTGCAAATCAATTGGTAGAAATATAAATTTGAGATCTTAATACTCTGTCTGATGTTAACAATGTATAATTTATCACCTTGTAAATTTCAAATTTTCGTTGATTAGTTTTAATATAACATATGGTAACAATGAGTGTTAAATTATTTGAAATCTTGACCGGAACGTCTGTTTAATATATTTATAGTAATATCTATAAATCATCTTAACTTGAAATCTTTATCAGCACGTCTGTTTTATATATCTTATAGTAACAATGACAAATATACAATTATCTTAATTTCAGATCTTGACCAAGCGTCTATTTGATATATCTTAAAGTAACAATGACAAATATACAATTATCTTAATTTCAAATTTTGATCAGGCGTTTGTTTAATATAATTAACTTATTTTGAATTGTTTTTATCGGTTTGTCTATTTAATATATCTTTAAGTATATTTAACGAGTATTAAATAATTGTCTTAATTAAAAATTTTAATTGGTACATCTGTTTAATATATCTTTAAGTTATCATAAATATCAAAATTTGAAACCTTAGCCGGTACGTTCATTAAATATATTTTAAAGTTATCTCAAGCCTTAACTGGTACGTCAGTTAAATATATTTCATAGTTATCACTAGTCTTAACCGGCACGTCTATTAAATATATATCTAACATTATGAGTATTAGTTTATCACTTACTTAGAAATCTTAGATGGTACGCCTGTTTAATATATTTTGTAGTCATCATGGGTATAAGATAATTATCTTAATTTGAAATCTTAACCGGTACGTCGGTAAAATATGTGGTGTAGTAACGATGAGTAATTATGCAACTTTAAAATGCGTTATTAATTGATGATGCTGTAATTCTGTAATCTTAACCGGTACAAATTCAATTCCTCTAAGAATATTATTATCTTTATAGTATTTATTGTAATACCTATTTATTCACATGTAAAAATATAGATATAGTAACACATTCAATGTACTAATATCAGAAACCGTGGAATTTTTTTTCCAAAATTGATTTTTTGATGTTTTTCATTTTCTATTCTGCATACGATTTGTTAGTATACCGCTACAATTATAGTGACTTACGAAGGTAAC